AACATTAAATCAGATTCCAACCTTAATCAGATCTTTTCTATTCTGAAACTAGATCAGAAACACAAGAAAGAAACAAAAACAAAGGAGTATTAGGCTTTTTAAAATACAGCTCTATAAATAAAGGTATGTTCTGCCACTTTGAGAGCGCATTTCTCTACCGGCTTTGCTGAGGTTGTGAAAACTGAAACCAGGGGTTGGAAAGGCTGAATTTGACCTGGCATTTGCATCCAGCTGCCCTGATGTAGCTATGAGGAAGAGTCTCTTTGAGGAACCCTAAGCTTCAGACCTGCAGAAAATAGTTTCACATGTGGCTTACACATAAAACTGCATCACATTTCATTGACGGGCATGCACCCACTTCACACCTTCCTGTTTATTTTGAAAGAGTCATCTTGAATTTTTTCAGAAAAAGAAAAAAGCACCCCAGACACCTACTGTTCTCTTTTTGCACAGACAAAACCTGCATCAGCGCAGGGAACCTTAATTAAAGTGATGGTTGCTCTTCCTAAGCCAGTGCTCATTCTGAATACAGCACTGCAAGCTATGGTTCTCCATGGGTTTTGCCACATCCTACACATCCTGCAGCCAGCTGCACACAAGGCAGTAAAGTCACATTCCAGAGGGTGCTGCATGGTGGCAAGGGTGCTTTAAAAATTATTTGCATGGTAAAGACCTATTTTAAACTGGTTTAGAAGTACTGATTTTAGCCACTGTCATATGACAGCTAGCAAGGCTTCTAGGCTCTACCTTGCCCTTATGAAGCCTGTCTCTTTAGAGGCAAAGCTGTCAGAAGAAAAGCTGTGCTTCCACATTACCTGTGCCCACACTGTCACCGTAGTGCAAATCCACCCAGACTTTAAGCAAGGACAGCAGAGTCTGAGTAGGGAGGGTGATGCATCGAAACAGGCTCCCCTCTGCCACGGGTAAATCACCTCTGGCAGCAGGGTGGAGCATGTACTCTCTGCCACCACAGACAGATTGGGCTGACTAATTCGGGGGGAATCCATCTCAGAAACACCAGCCCAGTCTAAATCACTGAAGATGATGCCAACAACAAAAGCTTCCAGGGCCTATTCAGAGATGTCTTTCAAAACCAGCTTTTGTTCACAGCTGCATACAACAACAGCTGCACTTTTTTTATAAAACTGATGACAGAAGTAAAAATACCTAGTGTCTCCTCCGCCCTGTGAAGAACTACACCTGAAACTCAAACACAGCTTTGATTCTATTACTGTCAATCACAGCACAGCAATACCTAATATTTTAACAGTAAGAGCCAAAGGAATTTTCCATCTCTCTCATCTACACATACCACGCTACTTAAATTGCTTCTCATAATTGCTATCATCTCACTCTTTTGCTCATCCAAAGACTTTCAAGTGGATTCTTAAATCACCATTTGCTGATCTTTATGCCTACCAGGCTTTATTAGCTGGCAACACATTGCTGCTTTGGAGAGCAACATACCATAGAGGACGTGGCATACAACAGTACAATTAACAAGCTGTATCAAAATTGTCTATGACAGGTGACACTGCAAGACCGCAGCCAGCATCCATCAAACTATTTCTATGATCTCCTTCCGTGGTCCCTTTACGTTCAAATGGCGTATATAATGTTTCCAAGATTAATTTGGCTTTCTCTTTATTGGAAGCATCAACTGTGGAGAAAGATTGATTCTACTTTCTAATAAAATCAATTTAATGAATATTTATCATTATATCATGCTTCCAGGAGTTGGTAACTGTTTACCTGCAGAACTATGCCTGGTTCAAGGTAAGATCAAGCACTCTGCACTTACAGACTGTCCAGCAAATGTTCTTAAACCTCTCACCTGACAGTTGTTGCTCCAAAAACCCAGGAGAAATACAATTTAATGTAAGATCTAACCCTATACTTTGGAGGAAATAGGAGACACTGCATGCACACTGCATGCACCAGTTAACTGAAGACAAACTAAAACAAAAAAATGTTAGGGTAAAAAAAGATTCTTCGCAACTCTGTCACCGTACACTAATCAACTGCTTCTCCACGGTGTTTTATTTCAGAACAGTGAGGAGGAAAGCATATAGCACCTAGCCAGTCAGCTTTCCTTCTGCTCAGCATGTGAGAACCCAGATGGTTTAAGAGATTAGTAATTGAAGTAGATAGTAGTTAACATTACTGTTCTGAAATCTGGGGTGCTTTTATTTTGAATCTGAAAATAAAGAGTATGCAAGTCTGGTCTGGATCAAGTGGAACTTGGTTGTGTGCCAGAAGCTACTTCATCACATTGAGATGGGCCACAGGGATGCTGAAGAGACAGCCTGCTAGCAGGAATAAGGATGAAATCAAGAGCAGCTTGACTGGAAAGGAAATTAATATTCTGCCCAATGGCAGCTAGAAATTTAAGAGTAGCAACAGCTTTTTTTCAGGAGAGGCAGAATGCCAGCAGCTCTGCTGCGTCCTTTAAGTTCATAGCTCCATGGCAAACTGTGTGGTTCACAGCTTGAGAAGGGCATATTGCAAGATGCCTTTGGCAACTCTTGAATGTTGGTGCCCAGAAGAGAGGACTGGATGATGAGGTGGCTGGGAAGGAGCTGCAGGACTCCTTCAAGTGCAGGGCCCCACCAGGCAGCAGGGGCCCAGCCGGAGTGCAGCGCTGTGGCCTCTCTCCGCTGCTGGCCAGGGAGGGCAGGAGGCAGGGACCAGCTCTGCTTCAAACAGACAGGGATCCATGAGAGCCAGTCACTCTGTCCAACAGGTTGTAAACGGAAAACGAGCCTTAACTGATGCACACAGCTGGGCCAAGCGTGTTGCCAAAATAGAAGCGCGCTCCTTTTTGAGGCATCGAAGGTCCAGGGCCAAAGCAACTACAGCATACTACTTCTGGGAGAAGCTGCTCCCAGGGAGCCCTGCTGGGTGACAGCCACTGTCCCCTGCCCACCCGATGCACAGCCAGCAAACCTCCACTCATTCCATTCCAATCCACCAGAGCACTTGCACTAGGTCACTTTAACTACACAGCTTCGTATTCCATCCTCCTCTGACCGTTCCCAAGAAGGGAAACAAAGCACACTTAAGTACAGATTGTGGCTATATGGTGCTATAAATGCCTGTTTGTGATAAGACCATATCAAGGTCAGTACAGTCGGATAAAGAATTGAAAATGAGGTTTCCAATTCAAGTTGCCTACTCCCAGCTTTGCTCAGAAATTCAGTTTCTGCCTCCTGTTTCTAGAACCAATTGAGATTTTCCAGCATTCAAAATATCAAAGAACATTTAGAGGGGGAAAGAAAAAAAAAACCACAACAAAACAACACTGCTATTGCTTTTATATGCTGTCACGTTGCTCTTGCTTTTATGTGCTGTTACATTGCTATTATGTGCTGAAACTCCCCAGTGACTTTCAAAAGCTGATCAAAATGCCAGGAGGGTTTTTTTGACAGACTCATTGGATCCAATTGAAGTGTATTAATTCTCCTCTACCCACCAGCAACCCGTCAACAGTCAGGGCCCTCCACGCTCCCCAAAAGACGCCTTTTACCTGTCTGCCACCATGTGTCCACAAGGGTGCAGCGCCCTTCTCCCACCACGTGGTAGAACCACTGCCAAGCTTCGTGGTTGATGGGTTCTCCCACTAGACCAAAATAAAGAAAGGAAGCAGCCTGAGACTCAGAGGGTTGCAGGCAGTTCATTCTTGCATTGGTGCTTACAGCATTTTTGTCGGGATGTGCAAAAGACTGTAATGTACTCATGTAACTAAGGACTGACTTTTTACAGAAAGACCAAAAGACAAGCAATAAATATCACTGAAAGTAACTAATCAATGCAGGTCACGTATAAGAACCTCTAGAATCCTAAATAATGCAGGAAAATGCTGCTTGGGTCTCCTAAGCCGGTAAAATTCGAAGTGATGTCATTTACCATTGGATAAATCTTTTTAGCAAAGAATGTGATCCTGCAAAATAAGCTAGGAAACAGGCAATCACACTAAGGTTCAATGGCCCCAACTTCAGTTTGTTTCTCCTTCCGCTGAGAAAATATCTGAAAAGCCAGACATGGAGCCTGCTTTATGATTTATTTATAAACCCCCCATCTGGTCAGCTGAGCTCCTCTGATACCTTCTTTTCACCAGCTAGGACCCCCCAACTTTTTCAGAAGATTTCATGCCCCTTACCTGATCCCAAGGTCTTCAAGGAAGATCTGTCATATTTCTTCACCCACTCTTCTCCATAATTCAGCAGCAAGCGTATAGCCGTAGGTGCTCCATAAAACTGATTAATTTTCAACCTTTGTACCACTTCCCAGTAACGACCTGCAAAAATCAAAACCAGGTTTTTTATCTGTCTAGCACTGACACGCTGCCACAAATGCTCACCAGGAAGGTTAGCAGCAAAAGCTAAAGCTGTGACTACTGTGAGTACAGAGCAAAACCAATAGCAACTTTTTTTTTTCCTACCCTGGATGCACAGATGTTCCTGAATGTTATAGACACATGTACCAAAGAAACGGCACTTACCTCCCCTGAGCAGGCAGGTCACACCAGATGGGTTTCTAAATCTCCTTTGTCACACTGCCATGTCTAGCCAAACCTTTGCCCACCACTTCCTCACCTGGGTTAGGGTACACTGGAGTGCTTTCAAACAGGACAGAGGTGGCTCCATTGCAGAGTGGTCCATACACAACATAGCTATGTCCCGTGATCCAGCCAATGTCAGCCACACAGCCAAAAACATCGCCTTGCTGGTAGTCAAATACATACTGCAAAGACAAATGTAAGGCCAGCTGACTTTCTGTTGGCAGGCACAAAGAGCTTAAAGGTAAGGTGCTGGACTGGACATCTAAGTGGAAGCAAGAGAGCGCACAGTGCGAGCGGCGCCAGGCACATGGGGCGCAGCAACACAAAGGCCAGCCCAAGGTGAGGAAGCAGAAGGACCAGTATCAGTGCTTCCAGGCTCCTGACTGCTTTTGCAAACAGTAGGGAGCATGGCTGTACCAGCAGCTGCTCAGACTGGAGCAACAAAGCTTACAATCAAATCCCAGAGCCCTGATACCTAAGGTTGCCTACTTCAGGCAGTTCACATGGGAGAGCTGAGCCTGAACTTCAGGGCCACAGAGCCTCAGACCCCTCATGAATATGAACAGGTTTCCCTAAGAAAGCTGGAGAAACTGACACGTGACCATGAAACATTTTCTGAGAAATGTTCTTAGCTGCGCAGCTTCTCTATCAGTGCCTCGCTTTCCAGATGCACCCCTCTCCTGCTCATCAAATCCAAGATAAAAATCTTGGAGAACTCATTATCTTGTCTTGGTTACGGAAAATGCTTCCCACTGTAAATGTAACTCCTCTACCGTATGGTGAAGAGGTCCTGACTCATAAGGCAGAGTCAGCTTTATGTTTTAAATGAAAGAAAAAGAAAACTCCACAAGCGTGACAAGAGTGTCACACATGAGTGTGCAAAGACCACAGAGGCCACACAGGCAGCTGATCCCTAGGACAGCCAATTCTCACCTTACTTCTGCAAATGACTTTCCCTCTCAGGGTCTGAAGTACCTCTAAAGGCACCGCAGCTGCACACTGTGCCTCCCTGCATATCTGCACCAGGGTGCAGGATCCACCTTCTGGACTAAGAAAGAAAGAGATGCCTTGGAAATCACACTGTCACTTAGTAAAGCTGACATAACAAATACCCTTCATGCAGAGAAGTCGGACACTTGAACATTCAGATCTTCTAAAAATTCAACTCTGACAGCCCAAAGAAAGAAAACCTCTGCCTGAATTGTGTGTGATTACACACAGGGTGATACCACTAAAGCCAGATGAAGATCTTTCACCACAATCCTCTCCACGTTTCACTGTTACCTTTTCATATGTAGAGCTCAGACCAGAAGCTTCAAGAAGCAGTGCCTTGACTTTTTCTTCTTCATGAGAAAGGGAGTTAAAACATTTAGCCTAGATCACATAGAAAAGCAGCACGAAGGTGCAACCACAGAGCATGAATGTAATTTTTGATCTTCAGACAAAAAGTGCTATGCAAAGACGTTGTTTTAAGAGTCCACATGCCCTCTAAAATAAAAAAGGCCAGCACCCCACTGCAAAATACTACAGTGATACCCACAATGCCAATGCCAGGAAGATACTTACCAGAATCTCCTCAGCTGCATCGCCTTAACGTCCACAAATTCTGGCCTGCAACACTAGCACACTCTAAATGCAAAAGTAGCAGCACTGCGGTTTCCTTCCTTTCATAACTCTAGGCTGTGGTTTGCATAGTATTATATTACCCAGGAACAAATCGTCAAGATTAATTACACATTCTCAGACATTTTTCAGTTTGTTTACACCCAACAAGCCAATTGGGCAGCAAGCACAGAACGCAGCACTCCTCACCAGTCCAAGTCCCTCTCGTTAGTACTGTCGGAAGGTAAGTGAACCTTTTCCAGTGGATGCAGCTGAGTTACCTTGTGCGTGACAGCAGCGTACAGCAGGTATCCAGCCTGGGTGTGAACGATTCCTTTGGGTTTCCCAGTGCTGCCTGAGGTATACAGCATGAAAAGCATGTCTTCGCTGTCCATGCTCTCTGGAGTGCATACAGAAGCTGCCTTGGCCATCTCCTAAGGAAAAGAAGGTGGTAATGACAGAAAAACCTTGGCTATATGGAGCCAACCGATACTCCATCTGTAAGCATGTCAGCAGTGTCCAGAGACAAAACCCACCATTGCTGTTTCCCCCCCCCCAAACATCCATGGATGTATTTATTATAGGTGCTCACCTAGTGGAAAGGTTCCTGTGGACACATAGCACTCAGCCTTTCCACCAATACCTCTGCTAGGCACAGAAGTCAAGGGGAATTGGCCAGACAAAATAACATTTCAGGAAAAAAATGGTAGGTCGTATTTCAAGCCTTTGCAAGCTGCTGGTAGAAAACCAAAGTGTGACTGCAAACATGAACCACAGTTGGCAGCAGCAGCAAGGCTGACTGGACACTGTTTAGGACCTTCCTTTTCCTTTTAAAACCACAGTGCTACTGTGCATTCATCTCCCTTCCCTGGCTCCAGCAGTGGATGACTGTCCTGTCCATTTGATCCTCAAATTCTAACTGCTTTTACGCATGAGAAGGAGAGTGCTTTACTCTCCTGCCTCTGTCACTCTCCTCATACTCTACTGTCTGGCCAGGTGGGTGAGACCCTCTCCTCACAGTCAGAACCATGTGCAGGAAGGATGCAATGTCCTACTAGGTCAGAGCAAACTTTTGGCCCAGCTTGTGTGCCCAGTCCAGCAGAGGAAGGGGAAATAATGTACTTTGAAAGTGCTGCTTGTGGTCACTGAACCTTGTAGCAGCAGAGGGCTTGTCTGCCCAGATTGTACATTTTTCAGGACAAGGTTGAACATTTTTGTTATCCATGTACAAGCTTGCAGTAATCACTGTGTTCCAGATGCTCAACATATGGCTGTAAAAAATTCACAGCTGGCTTGCTTCTCTCAAGCTCTGTACTGTCCTAGGTGAATAATGATTCCTGCAAGGGTTGTTAGCTGGCTCTTTGAAGGAATTTCTAGGCATGCCTTTTTTACAAGTATACACTGTAAACACACTGTATTTACAAGTGGACACTACCAATGGCAGGTCCAGTTGTTTAAAAGTGCCTGACAAAGCTTAGTAAAATATGAGGAGCTGATAGGGTCAGATGTAATTCTTAGACTCTGCGTTACAGCACTCCTGCTCATCTCAGGTATTTTTTGTGACATTTCAGCATTACCAATTCAGGCTGACTTGCCAGTTTTTGAAACGAAGATGGAGTTCTCCATTACAACATGAGCTTAAATTTTGCAGTAAGCCACTGCACAAGAGCTGGAAAGCACAACTGCTGTAAAGATCAGTAATGACAGAGTTAACAGCATTAATGGTTTAATTCTTGTTATGTTTCAGACCCTACAAATGACAATGGGCTGAGCTCAGCTCTTGGATCACCAAAGTGCCTCAGACTGTTTGCAGACTAAGGAACTTCGTCAGAATGTGCTTTGTGGAGTAAGGACCAGAAAGACAATTTCTGAATAAAACCTGCTTTCTCTGTTTAACTTACCCCAATAGTTGCTCCTATCTCATGTAACCAGCACTGGGACTACTCAGTAATTATCTTGGCTACAGAAGGGTGATTTCCAGGCATTATTACAATGAGTAGTTTCTGTTTACTGCTGCTGGCACTGATAAAACTAGCTCTGCATTAGGCTGCAGTCCCACGTGTACCAGCTACTAAAATGACTGCTGTGTTCTTCCCCAGGAAGCACAGGTTCTAAATATTCCCAAGCCATCACTGTCCTCCCATCATGGGGCAATGACAATGCTGTCCATAGGCTATATTAAGCATCTCCAGGAACTTGATTATTTCTGCACTGCCTTTCAACAGTGCCCAGTCTGAGAGTGCCTACAGCAAACCATAACAAGAGTGTCTGAACACAGTATAACAGCAGCAATGGTATCAGTGCACTCCAGGTCTCAGGAAACACTCGTTGCTTAAATCTCAGCACTGTTTGCAAGACTACTAAAGAGCATCATACGCCCTGCCCATGCTGAGATGAATCAGGCATAGATTGAGCTGCTTCAACTCACAATCCTAGCAGACTGTAAATACAGGTAATCCGTTTGAGGATGAAGATCCAGATGCCATACGGGGCATCTCCTTTTCCTCTACAGAGCTCAGGTCCAAAATGCACAAATGGAGAGAAAGATGAGCTAGCCAACACTCAGACCTAAAAGGAGTTATCCAGAGTGCCGGTGGGTGTCTGCAGAGGTAGGTGACTGCAGGGATGTACAGATGTGGTCACTGCAACACCGCTGTATCTGTTAGCCCACCGGGGTATTGTGGCAGCACAGGAAGAGCAGCACACACTGAAAACCTGCTCCAGAGGCAGCACGAAGGCCAGTCATCGCCAGCAGGTCTAGTGCGGCTACACTAGAGTGCCAAGCTGCAGTGCAGCGGCTGCTTCATAGGCTTTTAGCTCAGCACACATATGCAAGGAAAGCACGGAGACTGCCTGATCTTCCTTGGCTCCTAATTCCTAGTGTAGCCTACAGCAGATCAAAGACCAAAGCGAAATACCAGAGTGTGCATGACCTACACATTCAGCAAGACTCTCAGGCATGTGTTCTGAACAGCCCTGCGTCGGGTCTCTCAGAGATGTCTGTGTTAGCTGTTCCCTACATTTATTAGTCTGCCATATTTCTCATCCCCAGCACAGCAAACATCACATACTTCAATAAACATCAGGGGAAACAGGCAAGGTTTACCAACACCAACATACCTCCTCAAGGGGAATATCACGGTCACCCATCTGGACTTTGTTATCCGTCCTCTGAGCCACAAATACATGTTTGATGCTTGGACAGTTCTTCACAGCTTCATCCACAGTCGTCTTCAGTTCTATGATTCGGCCTCCCCTAACTCCCTGGTTGTAGGTGATAACTGCTTTGCATCCAGCTGAAAAGAGAATTAGCAGACATACCAGCCTGTCTTCCAGGCTAGTATGTGCACCCTGCTTTCATTACCTTTGGGGATGATGTATGGGACAACATGTGTGATAAATACTCAGAACTTCTATCAATCAAAACCAGTCAGTGTCACTGACAGTCTAAAACCTGAGACCCACAGATTAGGGGTAGCTGGAAGCTCCATGGGTTATCTAGACCATTTTCCCCAGCCCAAGGCAGGGTCCACTCCAGCTAATCCATTTCTGACAGCTGTCAGTCCAATCTTCCTAAAACATTCCAATGGTAGCTACCCCACCCTCTCCCCACCAGTCCACTCCAATGCCTATCATGAACATGAGAAAGTCTTCCCCAATGTCTAGCCTAAGTATCACTCACTGCAATTTAAATGCCTTCGTTCCTGCCTAGCAAAGCTGACATGCAGAACAGTTTCTTCCCAGTTACCTGTGTTATAGTGAATGCTGCTGCTTTAGCCTAACAGCTCACACACCAAAACCAGTGCAAGACTTCCTGCGACCTTAGTGAACAAGCACCTCTGCCCCTCTCTCCCCCTCTCTCTGGGGCTGCATGTAAGTGCCCATTGCAAACTGATGTGAGCAGCACCAAACTCAGCAGCCTCTCAGAGGTACCTGCAGCCTCCTCAAACTCACCCGTACGTTGAGGGGAAACCTCCTGGAAGCCCCAGCCCGCAGCAGCACTCTGGCAGAGCACTTCCAGTTGTACTGCACTATGTTATTACGGAGCTGGGGTGGCAGAGCAATGGCTCTTTAGCCCATCACCTCCGCAGAAGTGGTCAAAAGTGAGGGATAACTGAAGCATGTACTTGCTCTCTATAGATTAACTCTACTAAAACAGAAAAAAAAAAAGAAAATTGCCGTAAGACTCACACTAGCCATAAAGAAACTGGACATGAGCCACTTGCTATTTTGTTCTTCTGCTGGTATTTTTAGCGTTACTTTTTACCTAACCACACTACAAGTGCTTTGGGCTAAGAATGGCTCTGTCTGTTGGTACAACGGCTAACAGAGTGGGGGCAGGCTGCCAACACTTCAGAGCCATATATAAATCACAGTATCACAATCGAGACTGCAGAATTAGCACTGTGCAGGAGTATCAAAGAAACACTGCGATTATACTGCAAAAGAACAAATCCGGCCCCCTTCAAAAGCTCTGGTTTTCCCTCCAGCTTCACTGCTGTCTGGCAATAACCCAGTGCAGACCGAAGATTAAGCAATTTATAAAGTCTTTTAAGGCCAGAGGATACTGCATCTGCCACTAAGGAAAAGTCTCTTTACAACACTCCACAAAGGAGACCGAACTGTCCCACCAGCTGAGAACGAACCTTTTCTCTTTCTGCCAAAAGAACACAGAATTGGATATGTCTTGGAGCACGGTCCAGAGGGATTTGTTCCCCAGTCTGCATCTACTTACAGTCCACAATCCTCCCAGCTAAGGACTCTGCGCTGAATCCAGCGAAGATCACGGTGTGAACGGCACCAATCCTGGCGCAAGCCAGCATAGCTGCCACAGACAAGGGAGACACAGACATATAGATGGCCACCTTGTCCCCTTTCTGTATCCCATATTTCTTCAGGGTGTTGGCAAGACGGCAAGTCAGATCCAGAAGTTCCCTGCAGCACAGAAGCAACATTTGTCATGTGACTGCACAACCTGTTTTTTACAGGGGAGCAAAAAAAGGATGAACTTGAACCGAGCGAGGCATCACGATCACTTCTGGACTTTGTCATCTCAGCAGTATAGTGCACACCAGCTTTTGCATCTTAAAGAAGGGTGGCCTGGGGTGTGGTGAAAGCCAGACGCTCCTGCCATTGGGGAGAGAAGACAAGGGGGGCAGAGAGCCACGCTTGCTGCAGAAGGACAAGCGAGCGAGAAAAAAGGATGAACTTGAACCGAGCGAGGCATCACGATCACTTCTGGACTTTGTCATCTCAGCAGTATAGTGCACACCAGCTTTTGCATCTTAAAGAAGGGTGGCCTGGGGTGTGGTGAAAGCCAGACGCTCCTGCCATTGGGGAGAGAAGACAAGGGGGGCAGAGAGCCACGCTTGCTGCAGAAGGACAAGCGAGCGAGAGCTGCAGGCGTCCTGCTGCCTCCAGAAGCTTGTTTCCATTTTAGCCATCCTTGATGCCTTTTTTACCTACGAGGATCAATCAGAAGCTACACATGTGGGATAAACACAAGACAAAATGGAAGCCGTTGTTCAAAGACTCCCAGCACTGTTTATGCTGGGGAACCGCTGGAAGTGCTTCACAACCAGCAGCTTCTCTTTAAATTGCAACACATTTGAATGCATAGGAAGAAAAGGAGAATTGAAATTAAGTCCCCAGATACTTGTGTGAGTGGCAGGTTTTACAAGTCTCTCATCAAAGCCAGATCACCTGCCGCCTGAATTCCTCTGGTCACTTCACCCTGCTGCAGAGTGCAGCGGCCTCACAGAACGAAGATACTGCTCTCACCAGGGTAAAACCACAGCCACTCTTGCACAGAGAAATTCGGTAACACCAAGAACAGGAACAAAGGCTCTTTTCACAGAGCCTGCCACTGCAACATGCTGACTTAATAGCTGAAATGTTCCTCTAAGGAACAAAAAAGCTGTTTGTGGGCAAGGACTTGCATGAACACTTTTTCTGATGCCTGGATGGGGGATAACACGATTGCAGGCATGCCTGGGACCAAGATGCTGTCACAGACTGAACAGCTCTGTGTGCCTGCAGTGGAAGGGCTCCGAGAAGAAGACAGATAACTGTGTCAGGTGAGGAGTGGTCTCACACCAAAGGAGGTGACCCTCATGGGGGCAGAAGAGCCTTCTACTTCACTGGTGCCAACCATCAGCTCAGAGAAGACTTGCAAAGTCTGCCAGGAATGACAGTTGTCCTCTGGGTTCAGGAACTCGCTGAGTACTGAAGCCCAGAGGGGAGAGGTAGCTTCTGCTCCCTAGCACACTCATCTTCAACCTGTCCTCCGTGAACACTTGGGGGTCTGTAAGCTACACTGCCAGGGGCTCCAAAAACTGTTAACAAACATATTATTTTTGGGGGTCTGCATACCATAATAATTTGTAAAGCACGAATCTCCCAATGTATCTTTATCTGACAGAACTAGCCATAGCTGTGACAAACAAACAAACAAATAGAATCGGTTTTCAGCTGGTGGCTAAGCTGAAAATAAAATGTTGTTTCTGGTCCATCAAAAATGGTCTTGTTTCTTTTTTTAAACCAATGCAAGTTGGAAATAGGCAAAGCCCAAGTGCTCCACTTTGGAAATGTCATAACAAAACCATGGGCTGAGAATAACTTAGCATCTTAATTCTTTAGGATAAAACTCCATCTGCACTGTGAGGCCAGTGGAGCAACACAGCCACAGAGAAGGTATGAAGACAGATAGCTGGAGGGATACCACTTCCCTGCCCCTTTTTGGAAGATAAGAAACATGAGCCACGAATCCCAGCCGCAGCACTTTGTTATTTTTTTTAAGACTATTCCTGCAGCATTAAGTACATAGACCACTCCTGAAGCACAGTTAACTTAGAGAGGTGGCCAGGCGCGCTCAGTGCCTGCTCTCTGGCTGTAGCTGGCAAGTGCCACTGCAGAGACCACAGCCCTGCAGAAAGCAGATATGTAGTGGCTTTACCCCAGACTGAATTTCCTCCTAGAGATCAGCCTAAACTCTAGAGCACAACATTCAATACCTCTTCCCAAGCGCTTCATGACCAGGCATCTTCCTGCTATCTACACAAGTGCACAGCCTGACAGATGCATTATTTTGCTTACTTTTACTAAACTCATGAACTGTGTGACTCCGTGCAATAATGAATTCCCACCCAAGGTTTGTTTTTGTGCCCTGTCCTAAAAGGTCCCATTATCTGGTCCAGAATTCATCCCATGCTGCATTAGAGAAAAGTCTCAATGTGGGTAAATATTAAAGAGCCAAAACAAAACTAAGCTGCTCAACTGCAGAGCACAGGAAGTGAAACAAGCCCCAGACAGGCAGTTGTGAGAAAGCAAAATAAAAACCACTTATCTGCAATGGAAAATACCCAAATGCTTTCAGAGCTGCAGCCTCTTCCTCCTGAATAGAAATGCCAGGAGAGCTCAGGCTAGGGCTGGCACTGTGGCTTATTCAGGTCTCGCTGACCGGGATGGCAGAAGCTCTCATTGTTTTTATATGATTAACCCCAGTTTAACATTTCCTTAATGAGAGTGTGTGAGCAAGCTCATAGACAATATGGACCAAGTCTTTGCCCCTGCATCTATTCGCTTTGCCTTCTCCTTTGTGCTCTGGAAGGCCGAGACAGGAAGGCCTTGGAGGTCCCTTGGTGGTGCAGCACATGGGGGAACAGACACAAAGGCAAAGAGAAGGTGAATCCAAGAACTCCAACAAAGAAATCCACAAATCCCTGAGCATCAGGTCTGTCTTCTGGCTCCTGTAGCAGCAACTCAGGCTTCCCCTCCCGTTCAAGAAAGGGAGTTATCAGAAACATTGGGAATCCTTCCCTTGACTCCCTCACTCCTTCACACACATTTTGCTAACTAACAGGCAGGCTGTTAGTATATGCCAGCAGGTTACACACTTCCAGTACTTAACCTAGACATGTCTCAGGGAGGAACGAGCACCCTGCAGGGTCACTGACCTGCAGAACTGCATGGGACAGACCTAACTGAACTAAGCAGGAGGAAACCGTGGCCATTACCCTCCCCACCTGCTACTGCTGCCAAGCTTGGCGCTGCGGTCCCTCCATCACACAAGGTTGGAAGAGCCAAGAGCAATTCCCACCTCAAGCCCAGCACTGCCCACCCTTGGCACAGAGGCAATGCCATCAAACATCAGTGGGCTGTGCACAGGGAAGGATCTGCCTCCCTTCCACACCCAGGGGGTGTGCTGGCAGCAAGGCACATCAACTGAAAACATACATCAGATGCTGACACAGGGCTAGACACTGTCACCCTGGAGCCAGTGAGACAGTGCAAAGGCAAGCATCTTCACTTAGCTTCTGCCTGCACTGAAACTTGAAACAGAGGAAGAGCAGAGGAAGTAGAGGCTCAGAGTGACAACGTCTACCCTGAAAGGGCTCAGCCATTGCCACTGAAGGACAGAGGGTGGCCAGAGGCTTGGAGCAGATGTGCACTGCTTCTGCAAACCACAAGAAGAGGGAGAAAGGCAAAATCCCAAGCAACAGTCACAGCGTTGCTGCCTGCCTGCACTTTCAGGGATAGAGCAGTCTGCTCCTGTTGTTTCCCTGCAGCCCTGTAACACAGTACTGCCGTGGCAAGCAACATGCCACAGGGTTTGTACCGAGTTTGCAAGGTCTCGGGAAAGCAGCTTGCGATGCTCGCCCTGGCTGAGCAATTTGTGACCTACCTGCAGCCTTGTTTCACCTGGCTTAACTGTCAACAGCAATTCTTCTGATTGACCAGGTAACCACAGTTAATATTTTTTTATGCTTCTTTATCTTTTTATGCTACCATCATGGTTTACAACCCTAACATAATGAGGTAGTGTAAAGAAATACACTCCTGGTATGATAAGAGTCCTTGAGAGGCAGAGGCACAGGACGTGGTGTGAAGGAGAACAGGCGTGGGACAACATGAGATGGAGCACAGGCTGGCAAACGACCAGTATAAGAAATGTGGATCTGGTGCTGGACAGAAGTGGTGTCAGTGGTAACCAACCGGACCTCTTTCTTTCTTTTCCTGTAGTAATCAGATCTTGACTGATTAGATTAGAATGTTAAGGGTTCAAGCTCTTGGCTCTCTCCATATAAGCTGTGCTTCCTTTTTGCCCATAAACAAGACTGAGTGTTAATGCTGTTCTCTTCTAGGCACTTATCACCTCTATGCAGGCATCTCCTCGGCTATCACAGCATCACTTCTAACCACAAGACCTGCAATGCTGGCCCTCCAGCAGAGCCAGCAGATCACTGTTCAGGCCAGTACTTCTGTTTAATCTAACAGGCGCAGCACTTCTCTCGCCATCTTTACAACATCTCTGTTCAGAAACTACCAGACCATTATTTCTCCCAGATCCCTCCCCAGATACAGTGGTGCCTGTGTTTCCAAAGCCCATCGCTCAATGTCTGGAACAATGACTCCTATAAAGCCCATCGCCAACACACAGCATTTCACTGATGCATTTTCAGGATGCCTGACAGAAACATTTTTCCAAGAAGTCTGATGCTATCTTTTGCCACAGCAAGACAGCCTGCAGCTTTCTAAACAAAGGAAGCTGGTTCTTTTTACATCCAAAAAAATCGCATCAAGATGTTCGCATTTCTAAACATTTTCCTAATATATTCAGTGCCGCATATGGGCTTTGGCAGTGCCTGTTTAGGAGGCTCAGCACAAGCCATGTTCTCTGCTGTCTCAGCACTACAGCTGGGCTGAGTATTTCTTGCAGCAACCAGTTTATTTCCTGGAACCATAGTTTGGATCAGGCTGGAACTATTTGAAAATTCAGGTCAAATGCCACAAACAGGTTAGTGTAAAAAAAAAAAAACCAAAAAAAACCAACCTCATATCTCACCTCCTAGCTGTTGCTCTACATGAATTACTGTGGAGCGGCAGAGTTCAAAGCTCGCCTCTATACCTTGTGATCACAGTGCTGCGGGCACTGTCCTTCGAGATGTGGGTTCAAGTCCCCTGGGACACAGTAGGTCTTCACACCCACCCCTTCTTCCCGGGTCAATGTTCTGGCCACAAGGATAATGCACAAACCTATTCACCTCTCACTGCAGCTTCTGTGACAGTGCCTCAGTTTAACCCTTTATTTCCCCTCACTTTTTGGTAAATAGAGAAAACGTGTTTCCTTTTTTCAACAAAAGGAAAACTCAACGTTTTTTCCATTTTAGTGAGAATAACTGAAAACTATGAAGCTGAACATGAGGCTTTTGGGCTGCAGGTTCAATTGCTAAGCTGAGCACAATTGTCCAGCCTTCCTGCAGACATCCTGAACCCAAGGCAAGGAAAACCCCTTGTGACGTTTTTCAGCTGAGAAAGTGAGAAGTCCCTGAGCTGCCTTGGATGGGGAAAGCCAAAAGCCTGGGCAAGATTTACTCGCTACCTCAACTTAGGAAGCCAACACGGGAAAGAAGGAAAAGAGTTTGCTGTCAATGAGAAACACCTTCTGTGTTGCACAGCCTGGTAAGTACCCACCTGGCTTCCAGCTGCAGTCTTACTGTGATCTCTAAAACAATTTCAACCATTTTGGCTCAGGCTGAGGAAACACCATTCGATGGCTTGTTAAAGTCGTAGCTGTGATGTGGCTAATGAAGATGTCCAACCACTTCTCTCCCACCTACCTAGGACCCTACGAAAAGCTACCTAGGACCCTCATTTCTGCCCCCTAAGCTTCTGCTATCCTCTCCCTAATTTGTATTTTGCATCTTGAACATTCCCTCTGCCCGCAACATTTTCTGCACTGGAGGGAGCCCATTTGTAAATTAAAAACCTTCCATTCAGCCCCAGCCTGCAACCCTTTGCAAAAGCAAGTTAGCTAACGTGTACTGCTGCCCACTTCTTCGCATAGCTCCCTTTCACAACTTCCATAGGATTTTGCAGTGCTACGAAACACTGGCTCACAGGTGGCTAAATTGTAGAGACTGTGGTAAACAAGGGAACACCAGAGAGAATAAATAACCCCATGTCGGAAAGGGGGAGGTCTGGCATAACTTTAGCTGCTGTCTTCAACATTCCCTGTTGCTGAGCTTACAGAGGCTACAGCCCAACAGCTCCAGGCACCAACTCTACCTGCTTATATAGGGCACTTGATAATACAGCGCCCTTTAAAACCCAGCCTCAGCAATGCATTAGGGAATTCCTCTGCAAGGTTTCAAAGCTCCTGGGCCCTGACGACATCCACAGCGCAGGACAAAACACTCCCAGACGGGTTGGACCCTTCTGCCAATAAATTCAGCTGGCTGCTCACAGCAGCATACTCCTGTGGGTTAAGTGCTACTTTGCCAGTGCCCTATCAGTAGTTTTACGGTGGTTTAGCCTCCAGAGAGCCAGACCTCTTGATAACAGATTGGCGCGACCTGTCCCCACTTTGCTGACTGCAGCCACCAAATCCCAGGAGGGCTGCATGCCCTGTTGTCACAAAGCAGTAAAAAAACAAGTCTCCTGCCTTCCCATTCAAAACTGGAGATATTTTGAATTTCTAGCTGATAAAAATGAAACCCGGAGGGGGAAAAAACACAAGAAGGGCCAGGGAATTATTTTTTTACCACAAGGCTGAGTTGCATCAGCTGGAAAGACAGGACAAAACTCAGCAGTGAAAAATATCATCACAACTGAGCTTTTAAGGGCCATCCTTCAAGCAAAGCTAAAATGTTTCACCCATGGCTTTGCGTATCTTTGCCAATAAGGAGAAGTCTGAATTCCTCTCCTAGCACAGAGCACTTAAGTCAGTTGCATAAACACAACCCATCTTGCTGACAAGCATGCATAGGGATGTAGACTGACTTACAGCTCAGCCCCAGCAACTCTTGCTCCCTGCAAGTTAGGCAGTTAGTGGGGCAGCAGAGGCAAACGGAGGCTCTTATTTCTCCCAAAGGTGAGCAAGCTGGGACAGCACTTTCGAATGCAGCTGCATTTTCTTGCCAATGCACGGAGGAAGCCCCGCTGATGGAGGCTTTCCCTTCCTCGGGAAGGAGGAAGACTGTTCCAGCCCTTTTCCTGCACAGCCGCCTGCTTCCTTTGCAGGCCGTGATGGGAATAGGGCCAGCGCTCAGCTGTTTTCTTGCCCCTGACAGCTCCCCAGAGGAGAAGGGAGAGCACCCACACCAGTAGCTGCGTCTTTCCTTTTGCCACCCAGGGCTTATCTACAAGGAAAAACAGCTCACAGTGGCAAGCTTTGCAAAGCAGATAATGCAACAAACTGGTGCCATGGACTTCTCTACATGTAAGCTCTGGACACCTCCCAGCTGACATTCCAGGACCTTCCTCAAAGCCAGTCCATGAAGCTAATGGCCAAATTAAAGTCTTTACCTTCCTTGCACATGACTTTAAGGCTGCTGTGCTATTAACAGCCCATCCAGATCCTAAGGAAAGGGGGACATCTCTGCCACAGACACCGGAGTTTGGGTCCTCCTGATATCCAGCATTCCCTTCACTCCCTCTTCATGCTGGGGCGGTCCTGCACCGAGGCTAGCATGCAGAGATCACCCTGCTACAGAAGGCTCTTGGCAGATTACTCAACCAGCACCACAGCTTCTGAGCTACTTCTTTTTCTGATCTGGTTTCCCTCACAAAACTTCTAGCTAAAACAAGATGCAAAAAGTTTTCAACTAGCTCATCCTCAAAGGAAGGTCAGTGCCAAGATGCCTTAGAAAACCTTACTGCCCCATTTAAAACCTTTAAAAATGCAGCCCAAAGATCACAGAAAAGTCAAAACTGTTGATCCACTCCTTGCGCACACACCCATGTAATATCATTGCTTTCAACGAAGCTATTCCTGACTTAATGAGATAAGCAGAGAACCAAGTGACCCGTTTTACCACATTGTAGGACCAAAGTCTCTTGAGGAACTGTGTCACTCAAATGCAGTAACAGCTCACCAAGAGTAACAGGCAGAAACAGGAACATGGCTCTCAAACACACGCAGAAGTTTGAAAATGGAGGTCACCAACTTGTCTTTCACTTGGATGTTTTTCTTTCTGGTTGCTAGTTACTGTGTCTTTGTAAAGCTGCACAAAGATTGATTCAGTTTTCAGATCTGGGTTACTTGTCTTCCAGCTACAGCAATTGCCAATCCACAGGCTGAAAATACACTTTCCTCCAAAGACATTTTGGCATGGCCAAGAAAAAAAAAATGGTTCTGTTGCTGTTCAGAAAGGCCTTCTCATTTCTCCAGAGATCCCAAGAAGATGGTTTGAGGGTCTGGAGCAGCTCAGCACCTTTCAAATTGCACAGCCTAAGGGTGAGGCTAGAGCTGCCGTGAATGAGGCTGCGCTGTCTGATGGCCTGCTCTGCTTCTCAGGTGAATCAGAGCACAGTTCCCACCTCCAACCTACCCCCATTTTCACACCCGGGGCATGAAGAGAGCAGTAAAAGTACACACATCTCCCCAAACTCTGGGAGAAACCTTCAATTCCATCTCCTTTTCTACCACCGGAATGGCAAAAGCAAAACTCAAAGCATTTAGCCAGGCTATGCAGTTGGTTACAAGACATTTACACTCTAACGTGCCTACACAGCCCATCAAATAACAATACCAAGATCAAAACCAATCCACTTCTTCCACAGCTTTATATCAGGCAGTGTTTATTTCTGCTGCATGGAGCACTAATCTCTCAACGCTATTTGTACACCCACTGCTCCCTGATGACCAACTTCTTCACTCCAATGAATACTGTTTTCAGGAACTTTGATAAATGCTGGAGGTGAACCAGACCACCAGAACCTATTTAGACTCAAGAAGCTCTAGGAATCCCAACCATCAACAAGCTATAGAAAACATTTTGTAAAAGAGTCAGATGCCAGGACTTCCTACATCCCCTCTGCTTTCTGACCCAGCAGATCAAAATACACACTGAGGAACAGACAAGTCTGGGAAACCTTTAACTCTCACTAGAGAGACAGATGATGTAAAAAGCATTTTTGCAGGCAGGCCTGTCTCCTTAAATGAGGGCACATAGCAGGGACAAGAGAAATATGCTTGAAAACTGCCATATGCTAACAAACCCTACAATCTACAGCAGCAATTACAAGTCAGCATCACCCAGAGCAGCCTCAGGGTTGCTCTAAACCGCACTGAGGATGGGGAAGAGAACACAGGGACCTTCAAATCCCCTCCAGCCAGGACTCAGTATCACGATATTGACCATCAATGCAAGGTGTTGTTTGCACCAAGACATTTGCTGCTGTGCTAAACCCAAAAGCTGCTCACAGAACTTTTCCCATGAACACTTTCAACAAGCAAAAAGGAAACTGGCAGATGAGAGCATAAGCCAGGGAGAAAAAGCAAGCCGTTCTCTTCTAAAAGCCCTTACTTAGAGAGAGGGAATCTACAGGCAGGCCTGATTAACGTCATAAGCAGAAGATGATGCCAGATCTGAATCTGAAATTTTCAGGAGCTGTGACTAACTTACGTCCACTGTACCTCTCACCCTGTAATATGTTTATTACACGGGTTCTAAGATCAGGGAGCCCTCTCCATGAAGAAGCCAAGGGAAGAATATAATTTCTCGCTGGGAACATGACTCCATTTTTCAGGAGCTATCTCATCATGACACCACAACCCAGCTGCAGTTCTGCGGCTGCATGTCCTATATGCTGGAGCACCTTGGCAGAAAGCAGAGTTTCACCGAGGTCTGATTTCAAAGCAGCAGCTCTTCTCCCTGCCCCACCACATTGCCAGGCATCATAAAGCATCGTGAGAAGGCACCATACCTGTACGTGACATGCACTGCAGTGCCAGGCTCATCTCTCTCCCAAATCAAAGCCACTCTGTTTGGAGACTTTTCGACGTGTTGATCCAAGCAATTTACTGCAAGAAAACAGAGGTTTAAACAAAGCCTGATCATCTGCAAGGTGCTCTGTAAACTTAGCTTGGTCAAGTGTTAACAGCAAGCTAGCGTAAGATGAAACATCATGTATCAGCCAGCTATCCACACACTCATATTACACTGGGAAGTTGTCCTTTACAGCGATAGCACTGTAGCACTGGTTAAAGCCGCCCTTTGCCATATCTGTAGTATGCAAATACTACAAATTGTATACTTAAATGGTACAGCTTCCTTAGAGATGCCATCCCCATGAGAGGCCTCCGCTGATTCAGCTCAGCTTAGGCTAAGCACTGGGCTAAGCTTAAACCAGCCCAAATC